TGTTCATCGTACCTGCTTAACACCAAACAGACCGTAGCTCTGGTATGCCCAGAAATAGTTTCTGCGATACTTTGAGCACCTCGTTTTGGTGGGTTAAGAGTTCAGATACTGTTGTGGTTGTCGGGGATATGAATGCTCAATTAGGTAGAATTTGTCCTGTTGAACTCTAATTGGATGGTCGTCTAGAACTGGAGTCGAGAAGTACGAACAACGTCGAACGCTTGCTGCACTAATGTGCTGACCACAGATGGATTCCGTGCAGTACTAACTTCTAAGTCACTTGGCCACATGTGTTCCCGCATGCAAGTCAGCCTGTAACACAGATAGATCACATCGCCATTAAGTGTAGATGGTGTGGATTGACTGCTGACTGTCACTCGCCCAGCAACACCTGTGTGACTCCGGACCACGCGCTTGTTCGTTCCTGCTTCTCGTTACGCTTTTCAGGGGCAGTGAAGCCGCACATACCTCGCCTAGTCATTGAGAAACTCTCCAATCCTGGTGTGAAGCGAACCACTTATCGAAGGTCTTTTCAGAAAACACGTGATATGATGTTGACTCTTGCTGGAGGATACCGCCTGCCGCTACGGGAGATGCTGGGTGACCCGCTTGTAGAACCACATAACCAACTAGATCTAAGCAGCAGATCTCGAGCAAGACTTCGAAATTGCTCAAAGCTCGGACAAGCATTTCTCCTGGTCCAAAGAACAATATCAGTAACAGTCGGGATTCAAGTGAAAAAATTAATTGCGCGGGTGGAAAACATTAACAGACTCAGCTGAAGAGATGAAGGAGGCGAGAGCCTCTGGGAGTGTGCGCGAACTGTTTCCTCTGATATGTGAAACAGGACGAAAAAGGTTTCCGGTGAGCGAAGCAATCACTGATAATACCGGCTCACTTATCTCTGTGAGCCGAAGCATATACCGAAAGACTGGGTGATCTCTGTTAGTTTTACAAGTAGCGCTTCCTACTCTTCAAAAATTAGAATAACGTCTACATATTCCCGGTCGATAAGGTTCTCGCTTGGAGATCTGAACATAGGAGTTTTAAAGACCTATCATTCGCCTTATTACCACGTCAATTACGAAGTTAAACACATGGAGAGTCGATATTCATGTCGGATACCACTGCCTGTACGAAAGACTTTGCAGAGCTCCGCATACAGTTACAAGCACGTGAATACGAACAGCGCATAATCACAGACTTCTGCAGCATACCCTGGTGCGCAAGCGTGTTGAAAAGAACTAATCGGTCGACAAAACCGAAGGCAACCCCGAAATCATGGAACAGTGACAGATTAACATGCCCCTGCTCTAACCCTTGACGCAGGTTGAAGATGTGGCGCACAGGCCCTTTGAGGCTGGAATCCTGTTTCCTTTTCCCAGGCCCTGTCTTCATTCAGCTTCCTAGGACGATATAGAATAGGTTATCTGGTTACAACGAAGGTCAAGTTCATCCCTCTGTGGCTGCCACAATCAATGCAAAGACAATTTAGATATGGGCAACACTACCGACTCATTCAGTTAGTTGGGAGGGTCTCTTCAATCCAGATAGGGGCAAATAAGTTAGGCAGGCAGCGACTGGGAGTTAACATTTATCTTTTAACAGAACGTGTGGAAGTTCAAGACTAGCAGCTACGTGACGTTCGGGGCTGCGTTGCCGATTAGGAATTCCGCTAAGCACTTGCAGATGGCCAGTTGAATTCTTCTTGGAACCGTTCATTCCGGCGACTCATGCACTCCACTGTTCTAGAGATAGGCGAGCCGTTGTGATCAGTGATTTTTTCATTCGTTTGATGTAAGGTGGGGCGGCCCAAACAGAACTCCAGTAGAGCAACAACAGAGAGCAGAGTAACAGCAGAGCCAACAATCGCATCCAATTCTCTTAGGTGACAATCCGAACAAAGAATGAATCGGTGGAGCAACTAGCCTGTACTCGGTTAGTGAGTGTTTTGAACTTACCCACGGTGATTCCCAAAGTTGTCACCACTGGATTTATCGGGTAAGATTACGCTCAAGGGAAGTAGCGAGCAGAATGATTATCGACTTGGACTGCCAGCATGTTATGCAGGAATCCTTGCAGGGGACATCTACCCACGTTCACTGAGACAACCATGCGCTCCTCGAGCGCGAACCAACGGGTGTTCCTTTTCTTCACCATAAAGTAACAAATGTTGTGCCGAATTCTCTCAAAAAGTTGGTGTGCAATCGCAGAAACCATACTCAAACAATTCTAGAAGTGGTGGAGTTTTAAATTACCACAACAAAGCTCGCAATACTTCACCAAAGTACGCTCCATTCATGACTTCCTTCCATTTAGTAGGTAGCCATTTAAGCGGAGTAGTGAGGCGGAATTGTGAGCTGCGTTGATGTCTCTGACATACCAAAGCAAGATGCAGCAGCCTGCTCTCGATTGTGGGCTGCCAAGTCAGACCAATTTTTCATCCCAATTTCATTACTGCTAGCCAGTCGTTAACGGACCTCTCCTTCGACTCTTGGTATCGACTCCGTTCGATAAGCCGTATCGACCAGTTACCTGAGTTACATATTGCGGCTATCTCTTTCATTATGGCGTCATAATTCGTGTTGCCCGACCACCTAGCTTATTTTTCTCAGGGCTCTGATAACCACCAGAGTGACAATGACAATCAGTTTTCGGTAGAAATCAGGTGACCTAGGAGAAATGCTCGTCACTCTTGTGGTTTAATTATCCGTTGGTGAAGTCAGCGGAACAGTATTCCTAATAGACAGCGGTATTATTAAGTCCCTCGAATGACCAAATTTTTCGCAATTTCCAGCCACTACTCATCTATGGTGGTTGCTAAACTATGTTGTTCTTGAGCGACTGACCCTCAGGCTGGTGTCACCGAGTTGGCTGGTTGACAAATATCTACATTTCACAGGGGAACAAATCCGAGTACCTCAGGTAAAACAACGTCCCACTTTCCTTCTAGGAGATAAAAGCGGGCTGTGTTGTTTTTTTTT